GCAAGGAGACTCGCACCGCCGCGGGTATCATTCACCCATTCTGGAATATCCTCAGGACTCTCATTGCAAAAGCTTTCCAAGTGAGTCAAGTCGTGGCCAAGGAAAAGCCTCGTCATCGCCATCGATGACAGACTGATTAAAGTTATGTAAGGGTCCCCCATGGAAAAGGAAGCCTCCACAGAAGCCTCAAGAGCGGGAAGCGTTGATGCCAGAGGGACTCGCAAGTGGCTAACATAGAGATTATGGACAATCGAACCACGACTTTGGGTCCAAGGCTCAGGACAACGCTCGAGAAGAGTAAGAGCATGATCACTCAGCTTTACCGCAAGATCCAAATCTCGAAAACGACTGAAGGAGATCATAGCGAGGTGAGAACAACCGATCGAGATCTGCACAAAACCACCTTTGAAGATGTGGAGATTCATCATCTCGATTGCCATTCGGTAAAATGTCAGGGGATCATCCCAATATGTCACAGCCATCGCCTCAGCCATAACGGCCCCGATAGTGATCATATTGATGTCCTTGCTCACAGGCTTACGAACAACAGCCTCCAAATCGCCTTTTTCTAAATACCTTCTAAGGTTCCTATAAGCGGCATCACATTCCTCAAAGGTTGTAAACTCCCGGAGATGAACGCCAAGCTCATCCAAGCATGTGAGTAGCGAGTCCATCGAACGGAGATGATTTCCCATTTGAGCGTATATCTTAGCTTTCACAATCCAAGCTCTTGACTTACACACCGCGCTTTTTCCATAAACAAAGACTTTGTCCAGTAAGTCAAGCGCTTCCGAATTATGACCCTGGGACCATGCCATCTCAGCTGTTGCAATGTGTAGTCGCAGTGTCTCGTCATAATACACATCAGTATTGTTGTCATCCCATGGATTTTCTTGGAGAAGCGCAATACAATGACGGAAGTACCAGAGTGCAGTTGGTCGTGCGCCAGATTGTGCAGCTGTTTGCGCGGCATCCCAGAGTATTTTCCGGTAATCAAGTCTCTGGACGACCCTGTTCTTGATTATCCGTGACGCAAGAGCCACATGCCGAGCCATTGCATAGCGACTACGACCATCATGATAGTACTTCATAATGGCTTGTGATATGATGAAATGCATCTTCTCGACATTGCGACCCTCTGTCAATGATGCAGCGGCTTGAGCTATTCTATCATTGGCGAATCTAAAGATCACTTAGATAGTGCAAAACGAGTGACAGCATGTGATAACAGCGACATACCTGAATTCATCATCAGTTTTCCCTGGAACAAGGAGATTGGCTTGGACAAGATACTGCAGTCCAACTACAATGTCGGCCTCCGACTGCCTAATGAGATTTGCGTTCTGTGGACAAGTGAGGTCCACTGCCTCGTCGTCATCGCTGGAGTACAGGAACTCGCTTGTGAGAAGCTTCTGGACTAAAGAGAACGCAAAAGGACTTCCCAATAGTGTACTCCAAACCATAATGGATCGAGCTGCAGGTGGGGTCTCCTGAAGGCGTCTTGCAATAAACCCAAGCCCAAGCCCTTCACCGTATCTTGGGGCCACGAACTCGGTGAAGATACGGTCAAGGTCGAATTCCCACACTGAGTTTTTCCATGAATACCAAATACAGTTTTTGCTATAACAAGTTTCCAGCATCAGCCGTACGTAGAACGGATTGCCTACGCTCTTTTCCTGAATGACAGCTGCGAGAGGGGTGAGCATCGGGTTGGGCTCCTGGTGCATTGTAGCTGCTACAATCTGCATGACTTCATCTTCCCCAAGTGGATTCAGCGCAATCCTTGTTACGCTGGGATTCTCTGCCTCAAAGAGCGACTTGATGGCATCCGACTCAAGCTCGGCCTTACGACTGGTGAGTACGAGCACGCAGGGTATTTTTGCTTTCACAATATTCATGATCAAGTCGAGGGTCTCATCATCGGCATAGTGTAGATCATCCACGCATACGCAAATCAACTTGAACTGAGACAACGTTTTTAGTATTTCCAGGAATGTTTCCATCAAGCGCATATTTTTCAAAGCCGCATTTGATAAGAAAAAATCAACCGAAGTCTGCCCCTGGTCAAACAGAGGAAGTGCAATACGCTTTGAAGGTTCCCCCTTAGTTGAAATATCTTTATTAAAGATGTGCTGGGCAGCCGAGAGCTTGGGCGATATGTCTTTTTCACTTCCTCCAGATGACATCAATTGCTCAGGCAGCTCCAGAACCCGATGTAACGTGGGCCACATCGGCCGCAGTGCTGTGCGGACACTTTCATGATAATCCGTCGTTACATCACGCTCGGAGAATATTTGGCGTAAAAGACTAGCTAGAATCTTGGCAAAAGGTTCAAAAGGGACCCTTCGCGCCCGATCCAAGCGAGCAATGCCGATATAACCAAACCGGCGAATTGCCGGTTGAACACGGTTGAGAAGATCGGTTTTCCCAATGCCAGCAGCACCACTGATGGTAATGACCTCGCACTTCCCACTCCGGCGGAGCTTGTGAGCAGTCTTGGGCCTATTTACCCCAAGAGAGTCCGCATGGCTCTGCGTGCTTGCTCCCGTCGTCGAGAGATGCCCATCTCTATCTGTGTTGTCCCAGGAGGCACGAGATTCGACCGGACTCTTTGCTTTGCTTGATACATAGCCTGGCTTTGGTGTCGAGAGTGATGATTCGGTACTGTGGATGGACTCGTGCGTGGAGACACGACCGAGGTTAGAAGGACCACCGTTAGAGTTAGGCTTATGAGGGATGTGGAAAGAGCCCGAGTCGCTCGAGCCAGACGCAATTTCAAAGCTGTCAACGCGACCGTCCGAGATAGATGAAGTGGAGCCTAATCCGCTGGTGCTCTGAGTGGTAGCTCTGGCGTAAGCGGACTGCTGACGTCGATAAACCTTTTCAACCACCTCTATAAGTTTTCTATACTCTTCCTTCCGCCCGAACATACGAGAGGGCAGAGTAAAGAATGAAGACACGTCGCGCTGAGCAATTTGAAAATCTTTCAAAGCTTCGCTATCACCGTCACCAAGTAATTGAGAAATCTGTACTAAATCTCTCTTCACGGAAGAAATGGTATGGTAGCGCTCATTGACTGCCTTCTGAGTCATCTTCTCAATCACAGCTGACACTGCGTCCGGGACATCCATTCTCTTTGCCGAAACTGGTGGTAGCTTCTTCCCCAGCACATTCTGAACAACTTCAACCGGGTCGCTTCCAGTGAACGCTGGCTTCCCAACTAACATTGTCCAGAAAAGCACCCCAAGCGCGTAGATATCCGTTCGGCTATCCGGTTCAGTCGGCATTCTTCCAGTCTGCTCCGGTGCAATAAACTGTAATTTATTCTTGACACCGAGCTCTCTAGAAGTCGACGACCAGCCCTCGCTAAGGATGTTATCAAACGACCGAGCACCATTCCCTGTATTGATTAATTTTACAGAGCCTCCTTCTAGACTGAAATGAAAAGCATCCCCGCGAATTTCACCGTGAACCGTTTTGAGTCCGTAATGTAGGAGTTCGAGACAATCACATGCGCCGATGCCGAAATCAAGGAACACTGGAAGGGAAACCTGCTCTCCAGGAGTCGGCTCACTACTGTCCCCTTTGGTGCCCATAGCAAACCAGGCAGGTCCAAATGCGACCAACTCCCGCAGCATGTTTGGCCCTGGTGATTCAAAGATAGCCACCAATAGAGGACCCGCATCGCCAGGATCTCGAGGAAGCCTTATGAGGTCAATCGGTCGTATCGTGTGGTTGCAATCCGGATCCGACGTCTGTACTATGGACCTTTGCATATGGAACTCACGCTCGAGTCTCACAACGTGGGACGAAACCCGAGCGATGACCGGTGTCCATATTGGCTCGTGATCGCCACGCGAAAGCGATATCTCACTGCTGGATTCGCTCAGACTACTTCTCCAGTGATGGCGAAAAGGAGGGCGGGATTCGGCTCGTGGGGAGTTGCGCGCGAGGCTAGATGGCCCTGATGAAGTCGCAGCGGGGGTAGAGACGTCGGACTCGAGAGAATGGCGGAGACCGTAAACATGCCAATGGCTGTATGTTGAATGAAACGGCTCGATGGACTGATCCCAAGTATATCCAGGCAGCTGCGCCAGTCGTTCGAAAAGCCGGGTTGGAGGGAGTGGTAGGTCCTCACCAAGGATATTACTATCTTCCATCTCAACCGACTACCGATATATCCTAGTTGATTCGACCCCCCTCAATAAACAGCCATATGTGAATTACCCGTGTGCAGAGTTGTCGCAGGTCTGATCAGGCGGGGCGTTAAATCAGAGTGTGCAGTATCATTAGGAACAAAAACGGTACAATCGCCAAGGACGGAGGAGGGGACAAAGCACCTCACTCCCTCTGGAGATCGGACGAGGCCAAGTATAGTTACGAGGCTGCGGAACGTGCGCGCAATTCGGCGGTATAAAAGCAAGGATAGCGACGATCGAAGACCTGACTTGTCATTGTACAGCTGCAATCATTTCGTGCGGTTGCAAGTGGAGGCACCTGATCCGTGACAAGGCATTGGTTGGGCCTGAGAGCCTCAGGTGTCATACGTTCCATGAATAAGCATTGTCTTAGTCATCTGCCATTGAGCATCACGAGGGACAGCCGGCGATCAGCCGTGTTAACCTACATGTTATGGGACGCTACAGCGTTTGAGCAATGAACTATAGATTGCATAAAATTCAATGACTGAACATTGGCTGGTGCGTTTATACGGCAGCTATCAATCCTCCCACCCCCTAAATACTTCGTGCGGTGCTTCTATACCCATCCCTTTTCAGGTACCAGAATTATGTAAACCCACTGTGATAACTAGTTAGATATATTTATATCTCTTGGGGAAGATCCCAGTATAAACAACACTTCACCACAAGGGAAATATTTGCTAGTCAGATGAAGGAAACCATTCGTGTGATGCCCCTCAATTTATAGCAAAACTTCAAAGAATGGCTGCCGCCGAAGCTGGAACCCTATACCAAGCATTAATTTTTCTTTTTTGCGGAAAAAAAAAAAAAAAAAAAAAAGAATAGAAAGAATAACACGGAGTACCTATCATAACCTTGAGTTGTGGGTACTACTATCATATCGGACAAATTATCCCTACGGAAAGACAATTACGTAGTAGCGATATTTATAAATGTGGAAACCTATATCTCCCAAATGATATTGAGCCATATGTGGATTAGAGAAGTAGAACTGTATTGTTCCTGAATGAGTTTTTTTTAAATGAGTTTGCAAATGATGGACGGACGGGACAATCAGTAAACAAAAACCAAATTGATTACTAAGTGCTATGGAGTAACTAGTTAGAGAAAACAGAAGAACGAGAGAACTATTGTTGGAGACTATAAATTTTATTCCATGCCACATCAAACTAAATTAGTTGAGAGATATCCCTACGCACTCCAACGTACTGTATTCCGTATATACATACCTACTGAGTGGACAGTTGAGTGAGGAAAGGCTGGAGGTGTACCCGAAATGTCGAGAGGATCGACAGAACAACACAGCCGAAGGGATTTCAATAAATCTCGGCCGACTACCTCGATTAGGAAAGCAAGCTAGAACACTAAATCTGCTTCGAGAAAAACCGTTAAAATGGGTTGAGTATAGACTTTCTTTTCCCAAATAGCATGGTTCAGCCTCCTACTACTAGCTCATTGTTCAATCTAACTACGAAGGATGGATGTAGTTTAAAAAAGGAAATCAGGGGCAAGGGAGGGTACGTGGTGCAGCCCAAAAATGAGTGGTTTAGGCAGGATAAGACGGGGATCCATGGAATTCGTCCCACAACTTGAAGATGGATGTATGGATCGGTACTGACCATGACTCGTTCGGAATAATATTTGAATGGAAATGGAAGCTCGGCAGGGCTAGGTACTGGTTGTTATGGATACCTTTCAGGTACGAAGTACTGTAGGCGATCATGTTGAAGCCCATAGGGTACTACTGGAATTGATGACGACAGTAGGCGTTCTCTTTCGCTTTTTCAGCCATCTGCACTCCCTTCTGTACCCCATGCTTAGCGCTGGGTGGGTAACTGTGCACTGATTGGTGAAACGAGCCAGCTTGGAATGGGATTCGAGAGGGCAGCCTCAACAATACCAATTAAGCACCGGCACTATGACCTGAATCGGATGACAAAAACTGTGACAAGTAGTCCTATTGCTTCATACCCATCACCTCTCCCGGAAGTTGTCGTTGGTGTGGCAAAAGGCTGGCCTATGCATTGAAATTGAGCCCGTAAAAGTACTATTAGTCAGCATCGATACACAACCTGATAGGATATCCTCAGTACATACTACCAGCAAGCTATTGAATAATACATGGAATACATGGTATGAAATACCCGACGTTGGATAATTTTAAAAACAGACTAGCCTTTTATTTGCTGTACCCGAGTCTCTGGAGTCGGAGAGCGCCACACAATCATAAACGATGACCCTTGACGTCTTGCAGGCCGGGGAAATGAAAGCCTTTCCCGTTCATGAATTTTTTTTTTTTTTTCTATTTTCCCTTTTTTACCTTTTTTTCTAGCCGCCTTCCACACCTTTTCTTTGATCCTTTGACACCATTGCGCTCCTCCTCAACCTTTGCCTAATTTATATTACGCATATGACATTGAGCCAATATATACATTAATTTATTGGAGATGGTCGAATTTCTTGAAATAGATCTAAACGCGTAAAGGACCAAAAGGTGACGCCGTACTCCGTACATACCACGCGATTCAAGTCCCGCCTAACAAACCCTATGGTGGCCTTGCGGGAAGTTGTCGGTTGCTAACCTCTCCACCTTCATGCCAACATTATTAATAATATACAACATTACGGAGTTCTCCGTATTTTTGCACAGGTGTTAGTACCAAGTGCGTGGAATGATTATAAGCACGGGGCCATAACTTCCCATGGTACACAGAAGAAGTCTCGACCTGTACATTGTTCCCTAGGTTGGACAGAAGGGTAATGGGAGGGACGGAAGAGCGTTTTCATGTATAGCAGGCAAAAATGAAGAGAATAAGAATAGAAAGAACGGATTGGGAGCAAAAAATTCAAATGGACGATAAACACTCCCTATCTACGGAGTACTAATATTGAGATATATGAATCGGTTCGAAGATGGATGGAGCATCAAATGTTATTATAATTATAGTTACGCTACTAATTGTAAGTAGTTCTTGATATCTCCTATACCCACAGCAATTATTACGATACTGTATGTACTTACATACCACACTGTACTCTGTACCTAGTACGTAGGTATACTTGCACTATTTACCAGGTAGTATTCTGTAAGTATTGGGTATAGTGAGATCTGAATCATCGCAAGAGAGAAATATTTATTATTATTATTTATTTATTTTTATTATTTTTTTCTTTTTGTTAAAAAAAAATCGACTATTAGATGCATACATACGTTCTGAACCTCTTCCCCCCCCTTCTGAGATATCATTCAGGTGACCTGGGATTGTCCCCATACGGAGTAGGTAACTGGGTAAGCTCTCTCACCTCTCTTTGACTTCCCCAGTCAGCCATCCCTCTTCGTAGCGGACTATTCTACTTCCCTTCCGGGTTCGATTTTGGCCCATCCATTTCCTCTCCTCTAGTACACTCACTTTCCTTGACCGGTTATGTTCTTACTGGTGTACGATAGTGTTTGTCTCTCTGATTGAACCCCCGCCCTAGAATTTCTTTTTTGATATTGTTATTACTATCATTTTTCTTGTTATTTCAGTTAATTTCCTCTGGTATCCACCCTCTCTCATCCTACTGTAATACTTCTCTACGCGTTCGAACGTTCCAGGGCCTGAGAAGCCTCATACAGTACCGCGGTTTTGCGAGAACCCGTCAAGGCTTGGCTACGTCATAGGTTAGAACCCCCCCCAGGAGACGGACCATTTCCACACCCTTCAGCACAAATCGACGATCCGCTGGGTCAAACAGCAGAACCTGCTCCAGTGTTTTTAGGAAAGGTCAGATCAGTCGAACCTTCCTCTCAATCCAGTACCTACCTCACCACCACGGTTATACACCGCTTTAGTCAACTTTCTTGAACCACTCTTTTTTTTTGTTTTCGATTTTTCCTTTTTTTTTTTTTTTTTTTTTTTTTTTTTCCTTTTTTTCTTTTTTTTTTTTTTTTTTTTTTTTTTTTTTTTTTTTTTTTTTTTTTTGCTCCTAACCCTTTTTCCCTTTCTTACACATCATTCCCTCTTGTCCTTCTCTCTTTCCTCATTTCCCCAGAATTTTGTTCTTTTCACCCGGTCGAGGTATACCCTATGAGTTTTTGATTTTCTCTTTTCTAAGGCCCACCCCTTTTTGCCCTTTTTCTTTCCGTGCGTTTAACGAACTTCACTTTTTCCCTTCTCCGCGTCTTTCCTACGCTCTTTCGTATACCTTTCTTCTCACCCTGGTCTAATTTCGTCCCTTTACTCTTCGGCCTTCCTTCACCTGATCCACGGACCGTTTCGTCCGAGAGATGAGTGCCTCATTTGGCTCCTGTGGAGTTGGATTCGCCCAGGAGAATTGATTATCTGACCGGCGGTGGAGGGTGTATAGGATGGGGGAAGTTCATAGTATGAGGACAACTCCGCTTCCATCGCCGGCCGAGGCCCCTTCGCCTGTCGCCGCACCTCATCCTCACCTGCGTGGCTCCCCCCAGTCAACATCCGACCTGGTTTCCAGTAGAAACGTTGGATGCACAGCGGACGGAAACGTGCCCATAGAGGATAACGTATGGAAGGCTAACTCTCAATCACCTTTTGCATTACATGAACAGACTGCGACCCCGTATTGTACCTCGCCACCTACGAAAAAGGAGAATTCAGACTCGGGAAAAGGGTACCAAGAGGATCAGGGACGAAGCCTGCAAACCCTCAAGGAATTACGGAGACAGATGGAGGAGTTGCTTGTATATCAACAGATGCAACAATCCCAGACCCAGAACGCCTCAGCCACTCGGGAAACTACCTCGTCGCAAGCAGACCCCGTCTCCTCGAATTACGAATCGTCAAGGAAAAGGCGCATTTCAAATGTATCTTCCCCGAGGATCGCACCGCTCCCAACAGACGCTATGCCTTCAACTTCATATTCCGACTCGACCGGCTCCGGAGGCACGATACGAGCCGCTGATTTAACGCCCGACAATATGCCCGGACAGACCCCATCGTACCCTTTCCCCAGAATGCAGCATCAATCGGCTCCAAGGTCGACGCAAGATCCTACACACAACCATAACCCATTCAAGCTGACACTTCCGGCTGAAAAGCTCAAAGTCCACAAGACCTCGCAACTGGCAGATGAAAGACACCCTACCTCGATGAAGACTCCTACATCCCATAGCGTTTTCCTGCCACCTCAATACAAGCCGGTGGCTGAGGACCCGACTTATCCTACCCCCAATTTGTATGATCTTACGTTGCAGCTTAATGCCGATCCTGGTCTTGATGCATGGTGGGCCAACGTTGTGCACATTTTACAGGAGAACTATGGTGCTGAGAGAGCATCACTAGCCATACCTGGAGATGCGACGGATCTTGAAAACGTGCCGTGGGGCCAGAAGGCAGTTTTCGATCGTAATATAGAAGGATATGAACGGGAAACTCTACAGAACCAGCAGTCCCACGAGGAGGCAACTGGAACGAGCGATGGATCTATCAAAGGGGCTGCCAACCCGGAAAAGCGGAAAGACGAGTCTACCACGGAGAGCTTGGCGAATGGATCGGGTGCTGCCAAACTTTTAAAACGACCCTCGCTTCTGGCACGGCATTCGTTTGCAGGTTTTGGTAAGGAGCGGAAATTATCAACATGGCAAGACTCGGAAACCTCACCGCAGGAGCAAAAGGCGAAAAATGAGAACAAGCGCGTACAGATCTCCAGCGAAAACCCAGATGGTACCGGAACAACTCAGAGCCAGAGCCAGACCTCGGCTACACCCTACCAGGTGCACACTGTGCCCTTTACGCAGTCCTTTGACCCGATGAGTCCTGCCCAATATAATCATCGACAGGCTGTCTTCCCCACATCCAGACCCTTGGAAGTTGAAATAGATCCGCTCATAAAGAGGACCGGTGTTGTGAAATTGTTCGGGCGCACAGGGCCTGTCGTTCTAACTAGAGAGTATTCAGAGAATTCTGCAGCAAAGCAGTCTGAGGGTGACGTTCAAACACCAGAGGACGTGGTGCAAGTCACTCCTACGGCAGAGCCTGTCCGGCCGTCGAACAAAGAGCATGCAATTCGGTCCAGATCTGTCTCTAACCCCGCTGCATCGGGTTTACATGCGCCTAGAGTCCCTTTGATGGAGTTCTACGACGAATATGAACAAGTTCCTCCCTCCCCCTGGTCACAGTCCCCTGCTCCTTCTCCAGCGCCCCGTGCGCACGCAGAGCAGAATCCCTTCTTTTCTAGCCATACGGTCGATGAAGGTGCATTCGCGAAGCATCCTCCGCAACATGATTACTCGAATCTGAACCCCCTGGAAGCCATTGGTGTCGACCTAGCGAAGTCTGTAATTCACATACCTCTTTTGCATGCTGGCCGCTCGAAGCCAACTTCGCCGTCCACTTTGAGATTTCCGGTAGCTGTCATCTCAATATTGTCACCTATAATACCATATCCTGCGAATTTGCGACAATCACTCGCTTGTCTTATCCCACATCTGACAACTTCGTTCTGCTTAGCCCAGCACTACAGTCAGCTCGAGCGGCAATTTGCATCTCGTCTCGAAGCCCCACGTTATGGGCATCTTCTTGGCCTTGGGGGAACATTCTCAGACGAAAGCAGTGAGTTGGAACTGGTAGCTGGTCTTAGTGGACATGTCAACTATTCTATAGCCGATGACGGTTCACTGGAGGCTCGTGCTAGCCTATCTAGTCCGGACGAAAGATCAAACTCGGCGAAGCCTAGTCCATCTGGGGTCGGTACTCCTGGTCTTGACCTGGGTAGTATTGGAGCAGGGGTTCCGTCTGTCCTGGGCGAATCCCCTGGATTTCCTGCTAAATTTGGAACTGATGCTGTGGACAGCTACTTCAATGTTCAACAGCTTAAGGGCCTCCGCGATGCGTTGACTCATCATCGGAATCGATTGTCAAAGCCTCGGCAGAACGCCACAACTTCTACACCCACTTCTCCTGGGAGATTGCTGGGGAAGCTCCCAATAGATGAAGATGGTGCCACCGTACCAGACCCAACTGCAGCTCAGGCATCCCCATCCCAGGAATTCCGCGCACCGCCAGTTATATCCCCGACGCAAAACTCGTCTCGTCACCCTTCAGCAAACTCTTTTTATGCCCAACTACCACGCGAGTTACCACGTCCGTTCACCGATACTGTAGCACAATTGATGCTAAACTCCGTTCCACTGCATATCTTTCTTGCGAAGCCGCAAAGCGGCGAAGTCATTTGGACGAACTCCAAATTTGACGCATACAGAAGGAGCCAACCTCAGGAGCAAAAGCTAAGGGACCCTTGGCAAAATATCCACAGCAGCGAACGCGAGCATGTATCACAGGAGTGGGCAAACGCTCTACGGACGGGGTCACAATTCACGGAACGCGTGCGCGTGAAACGTTTCAACGACGAGTCGGCGTACCGTTGGTTCATCTTCCGAGCCAACCCCCTACTATCTTCCACAGGCGAGGTGCTTTATTGGATTGGGTCGTTTCTTGATATCCATGAGCAACATATTGCGGAGCTCAAAGCAGCTCAGGAGAGAGAGAAGTTTGCGATCGATGCCAAATACAGAGCGTTCTCGAACTCCATCCCGCAGATTGTCTTTGAAGCCACTGAGTATCGTGGTCTCATATTTGTGAACGAACAATGGCATTTGTATACCGGCCAGAAGCTTGAAGAAGCGCTCAACTTTGGGTTTGCGAAACATCTTCATCCCGACGACTTGGAGAAATGTGGCGTACTTTCTGTATATCTCTCTGAGTCCCAAAAGGAGAATACAGTTTCTGGGTTAGACACGACCCTCCAAGAACGTCACCTTGCCAATGGGGTTACGCCTGCTCTAGAAGAACTCGTGAGACGTGGTGTGGCCTCTGTCCAAAAAGATGAAAATGGACGTGTCTTTTATTCCACGGAGATTCGACTTCGCTCCAAGGGAGCAGACTTTAGGTGGCATCTTGTTCGCTTGGTGCGCGTCGAGACGAGTAGTTTCGGTAGCGGAGAGGCGTCGTGGTACGGAACCTGTACCGATATCAACGACCGCAAGAACCTGGAGCGGGAGCTCAACAAGGCAATGCAACAATTGAACAACCAAATGGAATCGAAGACCAAGTTCTTCAGCAACATGTCCCATGAAATTCGGACACCGCTGAATGGAATACTCGGTACCATTCCTTTCATCTTGGATACTCACCTCGACACGGATCAGAGGCGAATGCTGGATACGATTCAGAACAGCTCAACTAACCTCCGTGAATTGGTTGATAATATTCTAGATGTCTCCAGGGTTGAAGCAGGGAAAATGTCGCTAGTTAACTCCTGGTTCCATGTGCGGTCGGTGATTGAAGATGTGATTGACACTGTTTCTTCCAGAGCTATCGACAAGGGCCTCGAAATCAACTATCTAATGGACGTTGATGTTCCTCCCATGGTCATTGGTGACAGGTTCAGAATTCGGCAAGTCTTAATAAATCTTGTTGGCAATGCAGTCAAATTCACCTCTCAAGGTGAAATTCACATACGCTGCTCCATCTATCATGGAACCGCGACTCTTTCCAAGGAGACAGAATTACTATTGAACTTTGACGTTGTTGACACAGGGAAGGGTTTCAGCGCAAGAGATGCCGAGCGTCTGATGCAACGGTTCAGCCAATTAGGGCAAAACGGTTCCCAACAACATGCTGGTAGCGGCCTTGGGCTCTTCTTATCCAAACAACTTGTCGAAATGCATGGTGGCAGATTGACCCCCAGCAGTAAAGAAGGTCAAGGCGCCAAGTTTTCGTTTTACGTGAAGGTTGACGCACCTCCGCCACCGTCGCCCGACGAACCGCGCCTCGTTCGACAATCGTCTAGCATGTCCGAGGGTCTTGGGTTGCAATCCAAGCCTAGTTCCCTGCAGAAGATGCTCTTTTCGTCAAGGGACTCTATAGATTCAAAGGGACCGGATACCTCTGACATCTCATCCGTACTTGACTCGCCGCTTTCCCAGCCCCTGAGCAGCTCTGATCCTTCTGCTCGGTTGACTTCCAATAGCTTCTCAGAGCGATCTTCAGTTTCTTCAGCTCTACCAACCCCTGAGCTTCATGCCGTGGATCCACTTACCAAGGTTGATACCGCAAAGTCCAACAACACAGACGTTTCGTCGCAGGCTCGACCGAATACCACGGCTTCTTCGAGCAGCGATACCATTCGTCCCGTAGCTCGTCCATCCTCTTCAACCTCTCGGGAGCTGTCTTTATCGATTACATCGGCAGCTGTTGATGCTGGCTCAGATGCCCCGGTCTCTCAGGACCCCTACTCAATTCTCATTCTATGTCCCTTGGATAATACGCGCAAAGCTATCAAGCAGCATATTGAACAGGTGGTGCCTCATGAAATACATTTTTCAATCACATCCTTACCTGATGTCGAGGATTGGAAGGACTCAATGAATGATGAGTCTAGTGCTAAGATCACGCACCTGGTACTAAATCTACCCAGCGTGGAAGACGTCCAGGACGTGATTCAGTATGTTCTAGATTGCGACTCAGCGTCCGCGCCCACTCTTGTTATTATTTCCGACCTATACCAGAAGCGACAGATTAATTCAAAGATCAAGGAACTGTCTGCTAGTGGTGGCCGTGTTTATACCGTGCCAAAGCCGGTCAAGCCTTCGGCATTCTCGGCCATCTTTGACCCCGATAACAGGCGAGACCTCAGCAAGGATAGAAATCAGGACATGGCCCGAGAGATCAACAATAATTTCAAGACCATGTCTAAGATGGTGAAGGAGGTTATCGGGAACAAGGGATACCGGATATTGCTTGTTGAAGACGATGAAACAAATCGTATGGTACGTTCGTCTTTTATTTCTGGCCTAGAGTTTTAAGCTGTTTTCGCCCGCCCTAACGCAACACAGGTTATGTTGAAATATCTGGACAAGATCAAGGTCATGGCCGAAACCGCGTCAAATGGTCAAGAGTGCACGGAAATGGTATTCTCTAAGGAGCCAGGATACTACTCCCTTATCATAGTAAGTTGCACAGGCTGCTGCTATCCCCGTGTTGCTGGTTTCTTGTGACTAACATCTTTCACAGTGTGATATCCAAATGCCAATGAAAAACGGATACGAAACTTGTCGTGATATTCGTGGCTGGGAACTAAAGAATCATTACCCTCAAATACCCATTATGGCTTTGTCTGCCAATGCAATGACAGACCAAATTGAAGACGCTGCACGCGCTGGCTTCAACGACTATGTCACAAAACCCATCAAACATAACGAACTGGGCAAGATGATGATGGGACTACTCGATCCTAGCCGACCACTCCTTCTACTTCGAGACCGTCTTAGGAGGGATAATCTTCGCGAGGATTAAGGTAGCCCCTATATTCCTGCAGTTATCCTGTGCGGTCAACGGAGTGTCTGTTCCAGGTGCTTTCTTTTGGCCTGATTTAGCCTCCAGATAATGCGCCAAATGGAAGTACATGGCCTCCCGGCTGTTATGACCGTGTCCTGATGTACCTGCTATTCGTTCTACTTTTTCTCAATTTTGGGCTGGGGTTTTGGCTTGGTACAAGCCGTCGGACGGAAAGGCGTCTTTGGATGTTTTCGAGTCGTGAATTTTGGTTTTCGAGTCTATTTCATTGTCCGCTTCTCTTTTTTCAACCGCGGGTTTTCACTACGCATCTGCATTGAGCATCCAGGTTTGATTGATACCTTTCAGCATTACGGGGGTCGGAATTATAGGTTTGTTGTTCTTTGGACCATCGACCTCGTTCGTGGCGTGGCGTCTGTTATCGGATTCGTTGAGCAATTCTCAATCGTCTTTACTTCTTCTTTTCTTTCAAACCTCCAATATCTGGCTTTTGTTTCTTACTTTTCTTATTTTTCTCTTCCCGATACCATATTATGAGCATGATATTTAACTTCTGGAATTGTATTTGCAGATAACAGAGCGTTCCCCACCCCTCCTTTTATCTACCCTTTCCCGATGTTTTCTGTTCCTTTGCCTTCTTAGTAGATAATTCATACACGGATTGAGATACCTGTTCTAGCATGGGCTGGGGACCATTTGGATATGAAAGGGAATTGTCACTTTGCTTCGGGACTCGGATAGTCATTGGTCAGATGGCAACATATATATGATATACTTTAATTGCACTATATCAGACAAATTCTCTTGTTCTGTGTTCAAGCTTGGTAAAAATCCAGTAGCGTGTGACCTAGTTAAGTCTAGATGATCACACTACCTACATATGTATTTTAGGTTTGATCTCTGATTGAACCAGATATGTATATCTGGGAGTATCCACCAGTAGACCTATTAGTATCTACTATCTACCGAGGTGTACAAAATGATACATGTCAGATGAGCTGCGCCCTGCACTGTTGTTAGCTAGTTCGATAATCCCTTGCTTTTTGGACGTCATCTCCATGTGGCTGATGAATCGTGTGGTGAGAGAGAAAAATTAAAAAGATAAAAAACAAAAAAAAAGAGGGAATTCCGGCAGTGAGTAACGTATCTATCCCTTGCCTGTGTAACTACATAGAGTTCAGGTGACAGGACAAACAATTAAAAAGATAAAGGAGAATGGGCCTATTGACTGCTTTAGAGCAGTTGATAGTGCAGGAGACGGTGATGTAATCGTCCCATTGTTGTTGGAGGATCGTCATCATTGGCGATAGTATAAGATTGTCGGCTTGCTGAGCTCTATGCGTTCCATGTCAGGTGCCTCCTTCAGACTGCTTTTTATTTTTGTACGACCTGAATCGACAAGCTGTTCAGGGTTAGTTGAACCTGCAATGGTGCCAAATGTTTTTCATCCCGAATTGATGGTAAGGAGACTTATGCGGCTGATCAGGACGGTGTTGGCATATGACGACACATGCCAGTAGGGGGAAATAGAAATGAATGGAACAATATGCATGACAACAATAATGAAGCCTAAAACAAGACGTAAGAATCGAAGCGCGAGATGATCTTAGCGACCTTAATTTGACGGCCTAGCGGGTAAGGAGCGATGTTGATAACATGAGGAGAGGCGATGTTCTCCCACAACCGGCTGAGGACCAGATCGATGCTGATGGGGAACAGTAATGGGGGGGCCCGAAGACGGATGACGACACGACGACTCCTTGAGCGACTCCAAGCGAATGTTTCCCCAGGCTTCACGTTAGGCATAAGCATGGATCGCCTGCCCACAGGCCCTCAGGAGGACCTATTGTTGAATAGTCTGGGTCCAATCTTGTTGGGTTCTAGAAAGGCCAAAACGGGCCAAGGAGACCAAGGGACCGAAATTGGGCTTGAGGCCCAATGGGTCAAAAAGCCGGTTGGCTGATGAGAAACCATTGAGCGAGTTGTAATTTTAGTGGCGGTGAGCGAAGGGAAGCAAACGAGCGATAGGGCGAAAACCCCACATTTGCTGCATCCCACGAACATCTTTGGAGGGTCGAGTTGGGTGATCATTGGAAACAAGCGGGCACCGTATTGAGTTCTTAGTGAGAAAAGACAATGTACCTTTTTTCCTCCTCACTGGTCTAAACCCTAGCACAGAACGGTTGGTCGTTGGGCACAATCGACGCTACGGGAGAAGGCCCATAGTTCGACACGATTAGAGACCCTAATCCACGATGCATCGCCTACCTACAGTTAGACCAAGGCATACCGTCAACTTTGCTGCACAGACGGATGTCGAGCATCTTGCATCAGCCTAGTGATGCAAGCCAGAGAGGGCTGGGGAGACTGAGATGTTGTCTTTTAGTGGGTATGGTCAGACTTCCCTCCTCGATGATGTAGTCCGTAAATATCTGCTCCATGTGACCCGAGTCTTGACGGACAAAATGATGAGAAGTAGGCAATTCTAAAAAAAATTTCCCTCTTTTCTTTTTCGTCTAAGAAAGAAAAAGCGAAAGAGAGAGAGAAAAAAAAGGGGGACAAAAGGGCGGAGATCATGAGAGAGAAAACGGGGAAGAGGATCTCAAGCGAATTGACCCAATCAACGGCTCATTGATGGTATGTTGGGTCGCCGTGTCACCCTGCCATCCGGTCGGGCTGCTCTGAAGGTCGAAAGCTCTGTTCCTGCTTCATTTCACTTGCGTAAGTTCCGGATCTTCATTGTGCTCGGACAGACTGACAACGGGTCGAGGACATCGGCCTAACTGGTAAGGCAACAACGGCAGAGCCATGACGAGACTTGCATTAGAGCCACGGGAAATCGGAGGCCAGTAAGACCGTCGGACGACCAGGTGGATGTCACCATAGAAGAAGGATGACTGGTGCTTTCTTTTGCCGGATTTCACCTGTCAGCATGGTCGTTTGTGAGATGATCTTCATCCGTTTTCTTTCCCTTTTAACTTTCTTTTCTTTCCCTCTTTTATTGCCGTCCACTCTCGGGGGCCCTACACGGAAGGTCGCACCTCTTGGAAAATAAGAAATAAAAAGCATCAAATTGCCACATTCCCTTACGGTCCTGGCCCTGGTATTTCCCCAAGCTCCGTAAGCTCAGTTCAATTATTGCTTCCTGTCACCGTGTGGGTGTATTGTGCTCATCTAGTTGACGGTCCACTCCAGCCAGTTTGTCCTGGAGCTTCCCACGTTCGGCGGCGTTTAGTGCGCTTGTCGCCGTTTAGCTGCCGATTTGCTTTATTGCTTCAGAGATTTTTGCAGGAGCGAAGACAATAAAGGCCACGGACAGGCAGCTCTCGGTGATAATTTCAGTTCTGTCCCTGGGCACGCATTGCTTCTTCTCGTCGTATGTTCGTCACACCGTCCCCAATGTCTTTTAGGCATCATTCCATGTCGTACCATGCCACTTCGGTAATCAATCTTAAGTTTCTGAGTTGAAGCCATCGTGGAATTCCGAAATCCGTGATCAATCCCAAATGAACTCCCTCCTTCCGTTCCTATTTATCCTTTCCCTTTTCATTCATTCATTCTTTCTTTCTTTCTCTCTTTTTTTCTTTTGTGGAGCACACAGTGATGTTTCATGCCATGATCCGATGGCAATCCGTAACAAAATTTCTGCGGCTTCATTAGCGTCTGCTTTCTCCGGACGGGTTTCAGTCGCTGCCAAAATTTCAGGGGTGTTCCCAAGGCCACTTTGTTAGAAGGGGGAGAAAAAGAAAAAAAAAGTCACGCACACGCAATCGGAGCGAGCGAATGCCGCGAATCTCACTCTTTGCCCCTTACTATCCCGACCTCACATGTTCAACCAATTGATGCCAAACAGAACACCACCGGAACGTATCACGGTAAGGACTTCGACAATCATCACGCAGAACCAAAACCAGCAGGGAAAAAAATTGCAAAGATACCCAAGAGAGTCACCGTTAGCCGACAATGGCTATGGGGTAAGTCGCAATTAGTTAACTCCGTAGCCATGCAACTTTTTTTTTTTTTTTTTTTTTGGCAATCTCCCTGCTGTTGAATAGAGCTCTGAGTCTCAGCATCCATGTTGCCCAGCCACCCAGCCTCCTAATATTAGTGACATCCGGTATGGTCGATCACAATGAATGAAGAGTAGGGTAGTAAGACCCAGGAAAAATCCCCCAGGGTTGGAAATCTCACAAAGAAGGGTTTAAGATGGGTAGAAAACGATGTCTGAGGGAATGTGAGAAGAGGAAAAGGGAAAAAGAATGGGTAGTGTGAAAAACTGAACGCAAGTAATTCCGCTCACCCGCCAAGGGTAGAATAGTTGTGATATCTCAACACAATTCCGCCCAGCTCCTCCCTTTTTATATATTATAGCTGTCCCTCATCTTCCAATTGACACCGGGGAATGGAAACTGGCCCGAAAAAAATGACTAAATGCCCAAATATCGCCACGGGAGCGCGGAAGAGTGTCCGAGTGGAGAGGGACTTGCGAGGGCTGGACCAGTCTCCGGCCATCTATATCGCTTCCTTAAGTTTTGGTCTTCCCACCAGAGCGGGGTCGATTCGGGACCAGGAGCGAATGGGCTGTCAATAATCGAGAGATGAGCGGAATTGGGGGGTCCGGATTGGAGAGAACTGGGGTTCTTGGGAAAGTGAGGCCTGATGGGAGGGAAAAAAGACTCCCGGGATGGTCCAATGCCCAATGACTCGTACCCCCCCTCCTCCCTAGACAGGTCATGGCCCTCATGAAAGGCTTCTCCGCCGGATGGAAGACTCTCCGGCGAGGGATATATAAAGTCTCATCTTTTCAATCGTCTTTCTTTCCTCTTCTTCTTCCTTTCTTAACTTTCCCAGCCCTACTCTTCCCATCGCCTCAACGGTCTTGACAAGATTATTCCACTTTGACCCTACACCATTCGGTGGAAGTCAGACATATTCTATACTCACATACTTCCTTCAAGTGAGGAGATTGCCTCTTCTGCCTACCCTTTAGCCTGGTCCATAAACCATTGTCGTCTTGCATACCCTGCCCGCTTCGACTCTTCGAGCAACGCATCTTATCACAATGGCGACTCAGCATTATCAAGCGCCCCCCCTCCCTATCAATGTTCCCTCCAAGGCCCCCGCGCCTGTCAATCTGTATCCTATCAGCCGTGTTTCAGGATCCCCACCAGATGTATCTGACACCAGCACGACGGCGGGCAGTCGCACATCCGCCGGCTTCAGCTACGGCTCTGGGAGCATCAGCGGCGACTACGAGTCGAGTTCAGCATCGTACTCTGGTGTCGATGTTGTCGATGTCTTGAGTGACCGCATGCAGAGCGTGTTTGACCCCACGCCATTGGATAAAGGGCTGGCAAGACAGGCACAGGCGTGAGTAGTTGCCGATACCTTAACGAGCGGGGGCCGCTCATGACTTCGCCTGTTAAGCAAGAGCAATGCTTTCCGAGACTGGAGAGTAGTATAGATGTGCTAATGGGTGAATACAAACAGTTCCGGACAGCTGAATGCCAAACAACGTGAACTTCTTGAATTGCAAGCTCTCGCCCAGCGACGACTGCAAGGTGTACGTGCCAACTTCTCTGACGGCATCAAAGTAGCCCGGGAGACTAAAAGGGATCTGGAATGGACACAAAAGCGAGTGAGGTAAGTTCTGATGCCTTTTCCGCCTCATTGACCCCATGTATCCTGCTTGGATGGGACTCCGCTCCGCCGAGTGGATGTCCGCTCTCCGCTGGTGGTCTTGTTCTTGGCAAAACTGGTGCCTGACTAGCAGTGGCGCGAGATGTTGCGAGGCTAAATGTGCGTTGCTGAGTTTGTTTGCGGAATACTGATGTGGCTTTCAAACTTAGTGCATTGAAGGCAAAAGCTGAGGCTGTGCATCCCGACGAATACCGAAGGGCGACGAACAAGTATACTTATGACGACGATTACTGAACTCATTGCAGGAGGCAGCTGCTCATGTCCACCTTTTGTTCACTTTCCTCTTCCTTCTTGGCTATTGGGGGATAATCTGTTTTAATGCGGTAACGGCTTTCCGCGAAAATTGAATCCAAGACTTGGGTCAGGTTTGTTTGCTTATTTCGTCATCGAGCTGTTTGGGATCAATGAGTTTTATGGGATGGTATATATGGGGTCTTTCTCACTTTCACAATGTTGTATATTTGGCGTCGATTAACCGGTAGCGATATTATTTGATGGAATATACTCGGGATTTTTCTTGAAATTTGAGTCGCTGTCATCGCCATCACGGAGGACGATAGGGAGCCCGTTCCCTCGTCCGATCCGTGTGTGTCTAGGATTCCAACCCCATGGAGGTGGTCACATCACAAGATCACCCCCAAGCTCCGGTCATGTGAGTCAACTTGTGCGGGCGCCTGTAGGGGACTGTGGCACGGCCCCCTAGCACATTGCTGGTTGCATACCAGGGGTTCAAAGGCGGGAATGCGTATCCGCAAGGCAGCGGCGGCTCGTATAGATAAGGCAAGGATTCAAGAAATGTCCTGACGAATTACTGACCTCAAATCCTTCCCGAGATGGTGTCTCGGTTGGCCTGTTGGTAGTCGGCAGGCTGCCTACCTCCCACTGTTCCGCCGACCCACTCCGCCAGCGGACATCCTGTCCGCCTTCGTCCGCTCCACCCTCCGTTTTAGTTCGGTTCCTCTTGCCACTTTTGCGGGTCTGCGTGCAGCCTGAAGGAGCCAATGCCAGCGCAGTGTCTAGTACATCTCAGGGCTTTTGGGCAGCAACCCCCCTGCGCCACACGTGGAATGTATGCCCCTGGGATTGGGCCGTTAATTTAGGCTCATCCGGATGCATAGATGTAACATGATCGTGCTGTAGCTTATTTGCACCCCTGCGCGGTAATCGGCGGATAGCAGTTCGTTGTATACAACAAGTAGGCTGGTGACTGGTACTTGGCAGGGGTTCAAATTCGTGTTCCCCACTAGTCTGAAGAGGGTAGCACCTTCCCCATGTAAGAGAAAGTAACCCAATTGAGCCCGGATCCGTTGTAGAGTCACGGTTGGCTGGTGTGTGAGTGTGTGGATGTATGGATGTGTGTTAGAGGAAACCCGAATGTTTAGAGCACTGAAGAAGAGAAATAGGGTTCATACCTTAGCCGTCAGGCTCCAATAAAACCAGCGTCTGCAAGGACTGACCAAAGGATATCGTGCGTGCCCTGACGAAGCACTCCGGGCAATTAGAACACGGATGTTGTTCATAATAATGGAATAAAAAGGAAGAGGAGTAAATAGAGAAAGAGGGAGCTAATCACACAATGATCTCTTTGGTTTTTAGTTTTAAGTGTGAGCAGTAAATCGCGAGCTTCCATCAACAGTGTTTCAGAGGGGCCAAAGGCTAGGTTCCCATATTTGGATGTTAAAAGAAAGTCCACAACAGCTAGTTCCCCTCCAGAAAACCAAAGGCGAAGTAAATTCTTAGGTTGGCAGATCCTTTGGCATTACTGGAGAATTTCAAGACATTCTTGCAAATATGTAGAAGCAAATGCATGCCCTATCTGCCCAACCACGCGTGCTCTATTGCTGATGATTGATAATCTCCACAAGGAGGGCGCACGTCCCATTCCCAGGTAGCGACAATTGTTTGCAAGAGTGAGTCAGTCCAATCCTTGTATAAGTTACAGTCCTCAATATGATATCCCCACCAGCCTTGATGAAACTAGAGTGACTTGAGTAGCCCGCAACTAAGCAGGCACAGACACGATTGCATGGTAGACCCGAGTCTGATGCTTCTATTAGCTTGAAACTATTTAGGCGCCGCGATGTGCAACAAGAAAAGAACCAACAGGAACGCGTGGCTGTAAGAGAAGGACTCACCAATAGCGTGTAGTGAATTCCATCTTCATAGATGGGAGACCCATCCAGGGATCCTCGATGAAGCAAGGCTGAAAGTAAGTCACACACTTCGACTCCGAGTTTTCAATGCCATGGGATAATTCAGCTAGTTCGTGGTCGGAGAGGTGAGTTCCGTTCGGGGCTGTATACCCTCCTTGTTTAACCAGTTTCGAGCTCGGGGCCTGATGTTTTGCTAAGACGGGAGCATCAGTCTCAATGTTGTGATGCTCGTTTAGGTTCCCAGGCGCCCAATCCTCCATGAGACTGTGTTCCTGCTGAGAGAGTTGTTTCTTAAGGATGCGCTTGGGCGTGTAACGGGAAGACATGGCGACGATTTTTAGTTTTCTTAAGCCTTGTCTCGTGAGATCTAGTCTTGCTTTATCTAGCCAGAAGATGATATTGACTCGAGTCGAATTTAGAGTAAAAAGGAAGACTGTGTGGTTTGTTCGTTTGTTTGTGTGAGGTTTGAGCTTTAGATGATTGCGAGTGAATGTATGGAATACATTACACAGTAACACATGGAAAGGGTCACATTATCTTAAGTACTTCGTTTTCTTGCCAATCTCGCCAAGTACAAATACCATTCTACTACTCATACAGGCACATACTTGGGTATCCAACAGCTAAAAGGACCTCCACTTTATCTGGAAATAGGCCGTGTGAGAGAAAGAGAGGGTCTCAATCGAAACTCCGCTCTTCCTCGATGGCCCTGTCGATAACACGTACGAACCGTTCAACCTTGTCAGCATCCTGCTTGGCCGTTTCAATGCCCAACAACACTTTCTTGACACCGACACCGATGACTTTCTCTTCAGGGGCCTTATCGGCCTGGTCGATACCCCCAATCGCTCCTAGCACCTGGGCAATTTCCTGATCATCAAACGCCTCCGACTGTTTCATGATGTACTCCAGCTCGGCACACGTCATGACATTCGGGACCATGATATCAGAATTAAATGAGTTGTACACATCCAACTGCTTCAGTACAGCCCTCTGGGTTGTAGTTGCCAGAACCAACAATCGCCGCTCCTTGGTTGGTTGCTTTCTCAAGAAGACCATCAATGTCTGTAAAACGGTATTGCTAAACCGAGGACCGATTGGGACCCAATCGATAATTCTTTCAATGTTATCGACGACCACCACACTGGTACGACTCTTGTAGGCGTCATCGAATATCTTGCTGATATATTGGACCTTGGCCATTTCACTAAAGCCGACCATATCTTCAGGGCTGATTAGCTTGATAAAGGGGAAACCAGAATCAATGGCAATCCGGGCTGCGAGCGCAGTCTTTCCTGATGCGGTTGGACCATGCAACAAGACGGAGAACAAAGGTGTCGATTCCCCAACTTGTTTGACAAAGAGCTGACCCTCTCTTAAAATTTCGTTGATCTGATCGGAGTAATGGATAATGCCGTATTGAATACGGCTTGAAAGCTCCTCCTCTGACACACCAAACGCCGGTTTAACTTCATCAAGAGCATTGTGGAAGTCACCTCGGTTGACTTTCATGTTTACCACATCATCACTGATACCGGCCATTGTTCCAACCTTGACATGACGGGAAAAGGCGAATGAGGATGCGGATTTAACAAGACCTGCAATCTCGGCACCTGAAAAGTTTTTGGTCATCAATGCTAGCTCGGATAGATTAACGTCCACATCCATCACGTTGTTGTCCCTCATCTTCTGGGTATGAATCTTGAGAATCTGAGCTCGGCCCTTCTCATCCGGGAGTGAGATTTCCATATGGACCTCAAGACGACCAGGTCGCAATAGCGCATCATCGATCATGTCCTTCCTGTTGGTCATACCAATAAGGAGGATGTTATTGAGTTGGTCGACACCATCGAGCTTTGATAACAGTTGGTTCACCACACTATCACCTACGCCCGTGCCACCGCCTGCTCCGCTGCCACGCTGCTTACACACAGCATCAAGCTCATCAAAGATGATGATGTGGAGCCCACTTTCCTCGCCTTTCTCCTTGTACTCAGCCTCTGCATCTGCAAAAAGCTTTCGGATGTTTTCCTCTGACTGGCCAACATATTTATTCAGCACTTCAGGACCGTTGATGATCTTTGGTTCCCTTGCGTTTAACATCTTGCCAATTTGCCGCGCAATCAACGTTTTACCAGTTCCTGGAGGGCCATATAGTAGCATACCCTTTACATGCTGAATACCTAGCTTCTCAACTAAGCCTGGAGGGAAAATGCGAGACGCAAATGCACGGCGGAAGATTGTGCTAAACTCTGAATCGAGACCTCCAATACCCATGTTCTCGAACTTAAAGTCAGGCTGGATGATAGAGTTGGCCGCTGGCCGACGGTTCGACGCTTTCAGGTTGATTCCAGTGCGGGCATCCTTGAAAAAGTTGATCTGAGAATGCCTTGTGAGTATTCCCCTGGCGCTGGGGTGGGTCTCGACATGACCACTGGAGAGATCAGCTTTCTCGGAACTCAGATCGACACGTTGAACGGTTTTAACCGTTAGTATAAGAGGTATGCTTCTATGGTCCATTAAAATCTTCTGACCCGGGGCAAATATTTGGTTTTCAAAGTTCTGTCTCAGTTAGCCTACCACAATTTAGTTCGAAATTACTGGGGAGCTACCTTGACCACAGCACTACCCAACTCGTCTTGGTCGTAAGGAGTTTCGACCCTTTTCTTTCCGGCGAAACCTATTTCAATGTCCGTGGAACCGATATAAGCCTGCCCGCCTTGGCTGAACGGATCGTAAATTTGTACGTTGACAGAGTCTGTGAATGCAACTCCAGCCCACGTCCGCTGGGGATCCGACATGCTGATGTGACCCGGCGGGAAGCCATCATATGGGCGCGCGGAAAATACATAAAGATCGTTCACAAGAAGGAAAAGGTCGAGCCCGTCGCGCGTAGGCGGGAAATCCTGCGGCGATACTGCAACTCTAAACCATGTCAACCATCCGTCGCCCAAAACCTTTGGAGCTGAACTTACAAGTTACCAAAGGTGTAATTATTATCGGGGCTCTTCGCGGGGCGCAAGGTCCAGGTTCTCCCTGAGCTTCCTCCAACCGGGGCTCTCGGGGGCATTTGTGGCTGTTGACTAGGCCTTCCCGTCGGTGCTCCGTATCCCCTTGAAATATTATAAGCGTCAGTCATTACAGTGTCATAGTCAGGCGGGTGAGGGCGGTATTCATACCCTACACCACCCGTAGGCGCAGGGTTAGTGTTGTATTCTCTTCGTGGATAGGGAGGAGGTCCCTGGCCCGGGTTGGGGCTTGAATGGCCGTCTTCGCGAGGGGGCCGGGAGCCGAAAGGCATAGAGAAGTTATTACGGTTAAACATCTTGCTTCATATGATCGTTAATAGACCAGTAGAAGACCAAAGAGCGTATGGCGGTAGGTATTGACCGTCAGATAGTCAAATATTATGAAGTGAAGCTCTTATTAGCGCACAGGTTAATGCTGCCGGCAGCTTTCACGTCAAAAGGCGACAAAGAAATATTAATCTGATCACCAGAGTATATAGGTGCTAGGCCGCGAGTACTTCAATTAAAACAATTAGCAGAGATTATAGTGGGATGTAGAGAAGTGGCGGCGGGGACAAGCATGGGGACAAGCTGGACTCTATCCATAGAGGCTGAGCTCCGTACCTCCTTAGTTCTCATTGGCCCCATCGGCCCGCCAACCTCCGTTTCTGCCGATAGTTGCTCTCCGCCTTCCTTATCGCTGTTTTCCAATCAACAACGGGCTTCTCACATGCTACTAGGGTTTAATAGCAAGGAGTACTCTATTCATTTCACCCAAGATGCCTCTGTCAGTATTATCCATACTCTTTTTGCTCTCTTGTACTAACTGCATCAGTCATCTACTAGGTAAGAAGTCATGGAACGTCTACAACCCGGAGAACATTGCCCGCGTGCGTCGCGATGAGGCACAGGCGCAGGCCCGAGAAGAGGAACAGGAGCGTCGCATGCAAGAAGTTGATGCCGAACGAAGAATACAAATCCTCCGTGGCGAACGACCATCCACCCCACCACCTCCCCCACGATCTCCGTCGCCAATCTCCCGACATGATAGGAAGAGTTATGCAGAGGACACTCTAAGGTCTAGAAAGAGAAGACGTTTAGCCGGCGAAAATGATACGGACCGCGATATTCGATTTGCCCGAGAGGATGCACAGATTGCGCTGGCGAAACGAGAAGAACTTGCTTCCGCTCGATCTAGCGATGCGCCACTTTACGATAGTGCTGGTCATATTGACCTGTTCCCTTCCCAACCGTCACATGGGCGCACGGAGAAGAACCCAGAAGCCGAAAAAGAATCGGCCGAGAGACAAAAGGCATATGAAGATCAATACACAATGCGGTTCTCGAATGCGGCGGGGTTCCGTCAATCTGTCGGCCAGAAACCCTGGTATTCATCTTCAGGAACTGAAGCCATGGCTCCAGACTCCTTTTCCGGGAAAGATGTCTGGGGAAATGAGGATCCTATGAGAAGAGAAAGGGAAAAGGCCCGGATCGATGCCAACGATCCACTTGCGGCGATGAAGAAAGGTGTTCGCCAGCTAAAGTCGGTTGAGCAAGAAAGGAGGAAATGGGACGAAGAAAGGAGACGAGAATTAGAAGCCTTGGAGTTAGGAGAGAAACATCGGTCGCGCCATCGCAGGCGAAGGTCAAAGTCGGCAGATAGTCTTGAAAATTTCCAGCTCGATGCTTCACGGGACGAAGATCGAAGAGCAAATCGTCATCATCGCCATGGACGTGACACAAGCCGAGATCGCTTGCGTAAGAAAAACTCTCATTTGGATGGATATTTACATCGTCGCTATCATCATCGTCGTCGTCATCAACCGGATCGCAGCCGTAGTCGGAGTGACCGTAATAGTCGCTCGCGTCGAGAAACATAAGACACAGGGCACAGATGAAGATTCAGAATGGAAATTCTTCTTTTTTTTTTCCTTTTTTTCCTTTTTTTATTTTCGGCCATTATTCGATTATTGCGTTCTACAGTTGTGATACCCGCCAGATGGCATATGAATGATTGAATTACGTTTCTAACAGCTACCTATCAAACGAGACTTTCTATATGCCGTATAGTAGCAGAAAGGACGAATTAGGCCAAAAGGCAAGCAAAACTTTTTGGTCACAGCCCCTCACTGCAAACTCCATTCCTGAACGCCCTTTGCGCCCTCTTGAACATTCCATTCGATGGAGATGTCCAGAGACCGTGATTCCTTTGATTTCTTTTGGTAGCCAACTTTTCCTGTAATCGTCTGGCCTTTCTTCAAAGGAAGGGCCTCCTTCTTCCCGTGGTCGATGAGGAGGACACCTTGTTGCCAATGAGTTTCTGGGCCATCAGGGCCGGTAGTGAAAGCAACGAAGCCCTTCTTTTGCATCTCCGAAGGGATGGCATTGTCTGAAATAGGGGAATCCCTGGACGGCATAAAGAATATGTCAAACCAGATAGCCCAGCCATCAAGCGAGTCAATGTCCTCCTTCAAGGTAACCTGGAACTCCTTCAAGAAAGACAATTCATCGACAGTGATTGTATGCAGTGGGAGTGGTAAAAAGACGGACGAGTCTCCGGGGATAGTTGATGGTTGCACGCTACGGACGAGCGCTTCATCGTAGATACCCGTGAGCATGCTCCGCATGTTGAAACCGTAGACATCATTCCAAAAGGAGATATGGGAAGCAATGAAGTCAGGGTCGGCAAAGGGAGCAATACGCAGCGTGGCATGCGACGGAACCATCAATCCTCCGGGTGCCAGATAACGATCCCTGGCATAGATGACAGAATCAAACATGGCTTCAAACAGAAGACAATAACCCATCCATTCGGATACGATAATATCGACCTGTGGAACCGGCAAAGTGACTTCTTCAATCTTGCCACGGATGCACCTGAAAGCCAAAGCGTTAGTACCAAGATGTTAGCGAGCGAGTAATACAAGTACGTACGTAATCACATCCCCAAAGCCATTCTCATGAATGATCTCCTTTGCCCTATCGATGATGTTCGAGTTGTCCACCGAAATGACTTTCCGGGCACCTGCTTTGGCGCAGAACATTGACAAGATTCCTGTGCCACATCCAACATCCAGAACAACCTTGTCCTTGAACAGATGCTTGTTCTGATAAATAAAGTCGCGGTAACCATCGGTACGAATAGCGTCTTTCAGCATAGATTCGTGAATGCCTTTGAGAAAAGTATCCTGTCAGCAAAGGTATCGATTGGATATTTGCACATTAGATTAGGGCCAGTATACCATTGTAAGAATAGGATGAGAAGTAGTCTGAATCAATTGCTTCAGCCTTGCTGGCAGATCGTTGGGTCGAGGAAGCAGACGAAGTAAGTTTTTCATCCTCCTTTGACAACTGCTCCTCCAACGACTTCTGGACGGCAATCCTGTACTCAGAGAACTGGCTCTGCAGGCGTTCCAAGTCTTCTTGGAGTTCAGTTACGCGTCTCTCTGCTTCAGTACCACCGGGAACCTCCGAGTCTTGGTCTTCGATGTCATCCAAGCTATACAGGAGAGCATCATCCTCGAGCACAGGCTTCAGATAGACCTCGTCTTCGAAGTTGGATTTGGAAGACACGTCAGGAGACAGATTTCCAGCTTTGACTTGAGAGCGAATGTAGTTCACCAACTTGATAGTACCCAGGAAATCCAGATCTGAAAGCGCAAGGCAACGAAAAAAAGAGGAGGAAAGGTTAGCCCATAAAACATATTGTGATCGTTCAAACATAGATCAACCGGGCCTGAGCAGCGGAAGAAATACTAAAACGGTATAAGCCAATTCAATCAATTAGGTACACACCAAGCTCTTTTTGTGTCCTTCGCAGGTCGAAGTTATACTTGTCTTTGGTCTCCTGTAGCATAGAAAGCACATCGGGATAGACTTTCTCAGAGAATAGGCCAACCACCGGCTGGGTCTCATCATCGGGCTCAACGTCCTCCCATCCTTCTTCATTGCTGATGTCCGAGTCCTCAGAATGTGTAGAGCAGGAGTCATCATCCTTTAGGGGACGGTCAGAGGGAATCGAAGCCGACATGGCGACAATTGCGGGGTAGGCAGACAAATGAATTGGCAAGAATTATAAAGACCACAAAGTTCAATTGAGGCAATAGAACGACAATTTCTAATTGGTTATTGAAACCTGTGAAAACAACAATTAAAAATGCTGCTGAAAAGTAGAGAATTTCAGAAAAAGGACGTGAGTTTGTGAAAGAGGAAATCCAGGACCCCTCTTTACCCAAAAAAAAAAAAAAAAAAAAAAAAAAGCACATCGGTTGCCCCGCCCGGAGAGTTTGGTACTTTGTTTATCCACATGACCGAGGGCCCAGAACTGCGATAAGCGCCTGAGGCTTTCAGCTCCCCCGCCAACAGTATCACCTAGTATCACCGCCTTGCTGCCTTTCTCCTCCGTAAACACAAGAAATCCGTCATCGACAACAAGAGACCTTCCGGCCTTTTAGGATTAAGTACTGATTAGGAGGGCCCTCAATTCTGTTGTCTCACCTTTCTTGTATGCGCCAGTTGGTTTGCTATCCTGCACTTTCATCCAGGGAGCTAACCCCTCTGCTCTAAGAATGGCTTTCTTCTTCAACCGTGGCCGATCCCGACATCCTTCTGATATTGTCCGATCAATCAAGGATCAGTTGGTGAGGCTGCGTGAAGCTCCTCCCACTGCTGCTAAGGTTGGCTAATTATCATTCTATTCTACTCATTGTGTTCATCTTTAGTAGATTATGGACATGACCCTAAATTCACTGACGCTCAATACCGAATAGGTGGAAGATGAGCTGGCTAAACAACTTAGCCAGATGAAATTGATTGTTCAAGGAACTCAAGGTAGGTTTCTCGGCGAGCGCAGCAATAATCGCCTCGAAGAAGGTTAGGACTCGCTAATTAAAGCTGCCGACAGAAATCGAAGTGTCCCCCGAACAAGTGCACGCCTTGGTTCAGGCTACTCTCCATGAAGATTTGCTATACGAACTTGCGAGAAGCCTCTATATTCTACCCTTTGAAGCCCGAAAGGATACCCAGACCATATTTTCGCATATTCTTCGTTTCAAGCCCGGTAATCCAAGCCAAGCCGATCCGCCGGTCATTTCCTATATTGTCCACAACCGACCAGAAGTCATCATCGAACTATGCAAGGGCTATGAACACAGTCAAAGCGCAATGCCGTGCGGTACCATCCTGAGGGAAGCATTGAAGTTCGACGTCATTGCGGCGATCATCCTATATGACCAGTCAGAGGATGGGGAGCGGGCCATCAGACTGAGCGAAGTCCAGCCCGGTGTTCCACAAACCGGGAACGGGATTTTTTGGAATTTTTTCCACTGGGTAGATAGAGGGACTTTCGAGTTAAGCGCGGATGCTTTCACAACCTTCAGAGTAAGTCGCCCTTTTCTCCATGTCTACTCTGGTGGCAGTGAGATAACAATCACTACAGGAAATTTTGACTCGACACAAATCCTTAGTAACAGGGTATTTGGCAACGAATTTTGACAGATTCTTCGATAAATTTAACAGTGTACTGGTTCAGTCTGACTCATACGTCACCAAACGACAGAGCATCAAACTACTTGGGGAAATTCTGCTGGACCGTGCCAACTATAATGTGATGATGGCGTACGTTGAAAGCGGGGAAAATCTCAAGCTTTGCATGAAGTTATTACGAGATGACCGGAAAATGGTTCAATATGAGGGGTTCCACGTGTTTAAGGTATGTGACTAGTCATGTTGTTGATTCGAGTGGCGGTGCTCTAATGGGGAATGAATGGGTCCAGGTGTTTGTCGCAAATCCGAATAAGTCCGTGGCGGTGCAACGCATTCTGATCAACAATCGAGACCGACTTTTGAAATTCTTGCCTAGATTCTTGGAGGATCGCACCGATGATGATCAGTTTACTGATGAGAAAAGCTTCTTGGTCCGCCAAATTGAACTTTTACCCAAAGAACCTATTGATCCGACGCGCTCGGCGCGCGAATCATCTCGGCCGGGTGTCAATACGGCCACTGTGGCTTAGTCGCAATGTGACCACGAGTTGAGGTTTCCTTTGCATTCATTTCTTCTGCCCCTCCTCTTTTGACTACCACTTGGGGTTCAAGTGCAGCAGGACAATGTACGCTGGCCTGTACATTCTGCCTCGTCCCCGTCCGCATGATGGCCTGCTGGTATCTGGTCTTCATGGAGTTGCAGCATTATTGGCGATTTGGGGTGGAAGTAATGACGGTACTATGGGCGTTTCTAGCAATCAGGACTTATAGAGATGACATGGAGGAATAGAAAACACACCACGAAGAAGCAAAAAGAAAGGTATTTCACAAGTAAAAAAGAAAACAGGGCAGGTATCCAAACCTTGCATTTATATCGGATGTAAATACTCATAGTCCCAGGAGTGGATCAGCGTCAACAAGGGAAGAACGCAGCTGACAGTGAGGAATTGATTGTTAATTTGCAATAGTTGGGGATTTAAACTCTTTCATTCTGAAGCCACACGAACAAGGGATGATACCCAACATAGTTTGTTGTGGTGACCTTCATTTGTTGCCATTCTACCACATTGGGTTCCCAACCGAGTTGATCAACCTTCGCAGCCAAGTCTGCACGGAAGGGGTAGGAGAAAAAAAATAAAATATAAAATAAAATATAAAATTAAATTAAAGTAGAGAGAGAGAGAGAGAGAGAGAGAGAGAGACGGAACTCTTTCGGCATCGTACCGCGATATAGATTTTATTCGTTGGTATTTATATTTACTTTCTTTTGTATTGTTTTATTCTAATTAATTTCTTTCTTTTTTTTTTTTTTGTCGCTCAAATGCCACGCAAGAATCCTTCACGGTGGATATCCGTTGAACGTCTCCCACAACAACCACTTCTATTATTATCAATAATATCCGCAAGTCTGCACCACAGAACTATGACTAGATCCACAACAGCGTGGCCTAAAATTAAGTCTAGTATCTGGAAACCTTCCCGTGTGGAGCGCAGAGGGACCCCCCTTTGCGATCCCTGCTTGAAGGCTTCTTGTGCTTCAACGAGAGATAGCGCTTTAGATCATTCTATATAATTTGAAATCAGGGCAGGGACATGAGATCTCATTAGTTCGAGGTGAACATTGCTCAGTCCTTACTCCCCGTTCCTGAATTTCAGAGATTGATTTCCGATCCTTTCCCAGGGAATTAGGGTTACGAGGAAAGCTTGTCCTTTCATTCGCGCCAAGCAAAATCAAGGAGGGAGCCGCAGGTCAATTGCGACCCAATTCAAATCTCCTCTCTTCTTTCTTCTGTCTCCTACTGGGAAAATTAATCTCGTCGCCGGGGGCGGTCATGTTCAACGGCTCAAGAAATGTACTTTCACTAGTGTCCCTCCTTTATACTTTCTTGACCACTCCATTGAACTGCCAGCGGTGATCTCCGGCGCGGGATTCTTCGTGGAATAATAGTCCATTCCTTTGCCTCCTTCAAGCGCCTCCCCTCCCCGCCTGCCTCCCTCCCTTGAAAACCAACCGTTCGTCCCCGTCCGCCTTCCCACGGCAGAAGTTGAAGGGAAAGCGTCCACAAATCAATGCGGTCACGAGGATAAATACAGAACAAGTCATGCCAGGATAATGGTGGAGGATAAGCGATCCGCTTCGTTGCCTGGCGCCGTGATGTCGGAGTCTAGTTCGACCATTCACGCCGTTCCTTACGAAGAAACCGTCGCCGCAGAAGCCCCCCTGGCTGTCAGATCTGCCTCGTTGCCTACCCCAGTTGATTACCCATTGTGCTCCGGAAAGAAATCACTTGCAGTTAACGTACCATCAAGTTATCCCGGAGACCCATCACGCCCTCCACTCTCGTCGCATAGGAATGAACGGCCGCGAACGAAAGACGGGAGGATGCTAGGGCCAGATGGTGCGAAATCAGTTGTCAGCCTGCGCTCATTGCGCTCCATTCCTAGCATTGTCGTCAATGACGCTGGATCTCGTCCTAGTTCTCGGCCGGGCTCTCGGCCGGGGTCGCGCCCTGGATCTCGGTGGTCGGAGCGTAAACTTAGCGGACTATGGGGCAAAAAGTCTACAGAGTTGGAAAGAGATTCGGACTCGCCACCACCTGTTCCTCCCATAGAAGCTCCCTTCAATGGACTATCGTTGGATATACCCAATTCGTCTTTCGACGGCCTTGCGCCGCAGTCCATGAGGTTCTCTAAGCGCGGCAGTCTCATTAAAGAGGAAGCAAGACAGAGGTTGAAGCAGCTAGAACAAAATGACGATGAGGAAGACACCCAGGAGCCAAGAGATAGGCAGGAAGATATCGAGGACCCGATACCTACATCCACTGCTCTAACAGAGCAGAATGGCACGGAGGCAGAACTTTTAGAAGCCCCTGTAAGGCGTTCGAAACTGCCACCGTCGCTTCGTGTCAGACGAAGCGCTATGCCCAGCAGAGTTATTTCCGCAGACGAGGATATGCTGTCGCGTCGGGTCAGGCTGATGTATGAGAAAGGTGATGAGAATGTGACAGACTCGGAAGTGGCGAGAGCCCTGGCTGTGGAGAACGGTGTGCTCTGGGAAGAGGCAGGTCCGACAAGTGAGGAGACGTCTCGCTTTTCAGGCGCCAGTGTGTCTGGCACGGAAACCAAGAGCATAGTGTCCTCAGTTGGTCCTGAGCCTGCCCCGAGCATCAAGAAAGAGCCCAATGAACTAGCTGGCGGGATTGAGTACTGGCACAATATCAAGGCGGGAGATGTGGATAGATATGGTTTTATTCGCTCTCCTACCAGCAACTCGAATGATGGTACGGAGCCTAGTCCGATCCAACGGGTATCTACTAGTCTGCTCCTTGCCTCAGAAAGCCCCCGTCGGAAACATTCCATTCGGCCTCCGTCTGCTCTGGCGAGTAACCGTTCATTTGCGGGTCGGTCTCCAAACCGAAAGATTTCTGCCCCAGCAGTCCGCCCTTCGTCGTCGCAGAGCGCGTATAGTTCGCCAGTGCGACGGTCAACTTCACGATTTCGTCAAGCGACAAATCATCTTCCTCACAATCGCGACCGCCGATTCAA